TGCTCACGTTCAACTCAAAGCTTACCTTCCATCTCCGTTATCTCTGTATTGTGTTATAGAGATGCTAAATTGTTTCTCAGTTGCATTCATTAAACAAAGTGATGTGCTTGTACACTGCTATTAGTTTATTCCATTTTACGAGAAACTTCCAGGAACAGCTATGATATGAGAGCTATAGATTAGGCCAAAGTAGGGTCATGTGGTACACAACTTATGTTCATACAAAATACATACTCTGTGGACTTCTCCCCATCTAGCCCACACTACATGCTGTTTTCATCTACATCCTGTGAACTGCAGAGCGTGTGACTCTCTCTGCATACAGCCCCTGCACGTACACCTGTTCTAGACTCCAGGCCTCCGTTTTCTTTCCTAAACATCCCCCTTCCCCTAGTCCACAGCCCTGATATTCTAAAGTTCCTTCATCAAGTTCAAAGGGATTTTAGCTTGCTGTTAAAGGCATTATTTTCCCTGTAATGCTGAAAGACTGACATACAAGAAGATTACAAGAAATCTGCTAAGAACAGTGAAACACTGTCTTGACTCCACAGGGGCTGTTGCCTTCTAAGCTGAGATCATGGACAGAGGGCTTTAACTCTTGACTCTCCTAGAGACCCAAACGGTACGCATCCCGGTAAGTTATACAATCATAACTGTGGAAGAACTACCTGCATTGGAGCCCGGCAGCTAGGACAGCAGAATGAGTTTCTCATGGGCACCGCACTCTTGACATCAGACTCTAACTCATCAAGGCATGCCTGACAGCGACACTCAAAGAAATACTGACTGAGAAGCTGTTGTCTCTCAGCAACCCTCATTCTACATCGGTGAGGCCCTGCAAAGGGATGGCAAGGTTAGAAATCTCTAAACAGGTACAGTTCTTAACATCAGACTAAATCTATCTTTGTTATAATTGAGACTCGATATATCATCCTTTGGAGAGGATGTAACTGGAGACTGGAAATGTAACAGTGGGCTCAGGAGATAAAATCTTGCGTTGATACCTTTGATCAAGGCTTATACATGAACAAAGACTCCAGCAACATTACACTGGGAATTATGATATTAATAGTAATCGGTTAGCATGCGAAGTAGAGGTGAAAAGGTACTGTGCCTTGAGACAAACAGAGAGTTAACACTTACCATAGCAATGGAAAATCTCTTGGCCGCTTGGGATTGGCTGCGATGCCCTGACAGTGGCAGCTGTCCCACTAAATGACACGCTGATATTGGGACAGCACGAATGGTTCAGAAGGCTGAGGACAGGAAAGAAGGCTGTCGCCAGGCGCACAGGCTTCTTATTTACAACAGCACCATCTCCGGACCCTAAAGACAGAGGAAAAACATGTAGGTTGAGAATGAACGCTCAGTAACCCACGCAACTTATGCAATGAGCGCTGTGACCAATTGCAGATAGCAGTAGAAAGGTTTCTGGATATTGCTGTGATAAATGATAGCTAAATACCCTCTACATGTGCACTAAAGAACAGGCCAGCATGGGACAGGCCATTAAATTTTAAGCAAGTCATTCCCATCTGCAGTGGGAGCTTTTTACAACTGATAGTTCAATCTCTCCACTTCGCACAAGCTACATGAGCAAGGACAACAAAGAAGGACTTAAAAGTTTTTATCTTACCAAACTCCTGCATTACAGTGATCGCTTGTGCATTACATTGTAGCTGCAACACATGCCTCAGCATCGCTTCTGCCATAGTCTTCAGCTCTGGAGACAATTCACCCGATGCTTCTTCACATGTCTTTGGGTTGGACCACTTCTCAGATGATTCCTGATTCAAAACAGCAGCCTCTAGGCCAGCTTCCTGCAGTTGTTTGCATATAGCTACTACACTCAGCATGCAGAGGAACTTATGTTCAGGGCTATGCTTCTCAGCATGCGGCAAAAGGTTGAAGACAGCCTGATAAGAACTCTGGTACTGACCATTGTTGTTACAACCAGGTATACCTCTGGTACCAGCTCTTGTATCTGGTGCCTCACTGAGATGTTTGCATCTTGCCTCAGGGTTATGAAAGTCCTTGTCACCGTTGTGGGACCATTCCACCAGTCTGCTAACCTCCGCAAATCCCGCCAGCAGAACAGTCCTCAAGGCAACATGGCAGAAGACCCCTAACGTAAGAAGCAGTGCTCCCAGGGGGCACTCCGTCCTGTGGTACTGCTCCCATGCCACGTCTGCACAGTTCTGGCTGCAGTACTTTGCGTAACTGCACCCACGGCATGGCACTGAGGCTAATAGCTGCCTCAGACAATGGTGGCAATAAAGATCTGCATTAGTGACTCGAGTATCCCACGCTGTTTCACTGCTGTCCTGCAGAAGGTGGCTCTCCCCTGGGCAGAGCACGCTTACAAAGGCCTCCTCTTTCAACAGGCTCTGTCCTGGCAGGATGTCCTGGGAAGCCACCAAATGACGTCCTCTCTGTATATCAAAATTCAAGCTCAAAGATGAAGACGCACCTGAAATACTGTCATTCTCTTCCCAAATCTCCGACTTTCTTTGAATGTCACCACATGCTTCTCGTGTGGGCTCTGGACAACTCTCTTTCTCATGTATTTTAATCTTCAGTTGACTTAACTTTTTCAGCAGTGTCTGGTGTGTAGTCATGATCCCATCCATAGCAATTTTATTCTCCACCACACTGAGGGCGTCTGCTGCATCCTGTAACCTCCCCAAACACAGCAGACATTCAGCTTTCCGCAGCAAGACCTTGGGCAGCAGCCTGTCTGGGTAGCCATGACTTTCAGCCCTGGCAATATCTTCCAAACAAACCTAGAAACAAAGACAAGGCCCTTTAAATGTACTTGAAAACCAGCTGAGACTTGTGTTCTTTTATTCCATCTAAGATGCAGAATATTTTAATAAGACTATGTTAATCAGCAAATTCCAGGTGCATACCCAATCTGTTGGCCACATAAAGCCTCCTGACACAGAACAAGAAGGAAAGCAGGAGCCCTTCATAAAGTTTAAGGAACGATGGATGCATTAAGCGCAGCTTTGGAAGCACATCTGAGTTACAGTCTCCTGTTCTAACAACCAAAGATCTGTTATTGCGGGGTCAGCGGAAGCACCCACCCAAATGCTGTGTGCAAACATCGTGTGCCAACACCTCAGATGCTGCCTGGGCTCTTCCCTGCCCCAATCCCCCCTCCTGCGACACAGGAGGCCTCCGGCCACCCTCTGGGGGTGCAGACTTGCTCGGGGGCACCCAGGCGCTCGGAGGGAGGGGATCAGTGGGTCCCGCTGCCCCACCACCGCTTACCTCAAAGCGCCCGAGGTGGAAGAGGGCGGCGGAGCGGTTGGCGAAGCAGACGGACACCTCGGGGCTGCCGGGGAGCTCGTGGGATGCCGCCTGCGGAGACC